CACTTATAACTAGTCTCCTGCCCTGGATCACAATCCGCGAGCAGAGTTTTTAAACCGGCTCGGGTAGCCTCTACAGCAGCAGCAGCTATCTATAGATAAACTTTTGAATCCAACCGGCTCAATGCGCGCACTCTACATGCAAGGCATGACGCTCACATTATACACACTTACTCACGGGCGGGAGCTTTTTCTTTTTGTTTCTTTTTCTTTTAAAACCTAATATATGACTAAACGCAAACCTTATATGACCAAGAGAAAAAGAAAAGAAATAGTCCAAAAAAGCCGAGAAGAGTGAATTAAAATAAGAGACCAAGGATTCAGTGAAGAGGACTTAAAATAGTTTTATTAGACTTTATGCTTATAATTTTAACGTAAAAATGGTTTCATAATAAATTACACTCGACCATATAAAATGAAGCAAAATTATAAGGTAAAGTATACATAAAAGTCTATATAAAATTACTTGATTTTTCTCCTAGTTAATCTCCTTATGAAGTATTTTCGTCAATAAAATTTTCACTCCTCGCCGTAAAAATTTAACGGGTGGCTCCTCGTTCAAATTTTATTTCTTCATTTACTTTAATACCTCGCCTACTTCGTAGGCTCTTTAATTTATAAGATTTTGGGGCAAAATTGAGAGGTAAACCTCAATAATAATTCTCTTATTACCAGTTTTCTTAAAAATACATATTTCTGTATTTCCATAAATACGTATAAAAAAAAGGGGATTATCTTCACTCCCTCTGGTCGTTCAGTAATTATAAAGAATTTTGCTGGTCACCTGGCAATAAAACCTCAATAATGTCTAAATACCTTAATCATCCCTTAAATTATTAATATATGACTACTATCGCAGGTAAATCGCAATTAATTGATCGTATATCTAAAAAAAGTAAACTAACTAAAGGCCAAATCGACCAGACAATCACCGAATTCTTAATTGAAAAGGTGAAGAAATCAGACTACAAGGTTATTTCACTTTAAAAACTGTTATGACAGCCCCTCGCATGGCTATGAATTTACAAACTAAGAAAAAGATGAAGGTTCCGGCTAAAAGAGTGCCGAAGTGTAAATTCTCAATTAACTTGAAAGAGGAGATTGCTAAAAAGAAGTAGTATAAAACTAGTAAATAGTTTTATAGTTATACTCATAGTTGGACAACTAATAGATAAAAATATGTATTTATGGAAATATGGATAACTAATCTAATTTCTGACCAGTAAATACTACTCATAAAGCCTTTCAAACCTGTTTTCAAATTTTATTATCTACTCGGCCTAATTTTTTAATTAATCTTTCTTCTTTATCGATGGCTAATAAGCGATGGAGTAATATTTTGCTTTTTTTATCCAGACCATTTTCTTTATTGGCTTCAATTAGGACTTCAAAAACTTCAATGTGCTGCAACTCCTCTTCTTCACTAGTTAAAGGGGCTACTACTGAATAATCATTATATTGGTTCTGCCAATTATTACTCAATATTAAAACTGGCCGGATTTTAGACTGCTCTTTAATTTTTTTGCGGTTGAAATCTACTAATCAGATTTCACCCTGACGGGGAATACTCTTTCTTTCAGAATTTCGTATTTCACCTTGTTTAGGAATTTTTTTACTCATTGGTTAGATCTTCTATTCCGGCCTCCTTTCAAATTTTACTTTCTTTTTTTAATGCCTTGCTCTGGGCAGACCTTTGATAACCGTCAATTAATTTCTTAACAAACTTTTGCTGCTCTCTCTCTAGTTGTTGGTCATAAGCACCTAATTCTTTGGCTATAGCTTTTTCGACGAAAGCACTGACTTGGCGGGGTTCTATTTCGCTTTTGAGTCTTTTAAATAAATGGGAGTTAAGGCTGACAGTTAAAGTTAATTTAGGTTCTATTTTAGTTCTTGTCATATATATATTTTAATGTTAGTCTATTGGTCTATTATTTTGTTTTAGGTTTATTATTAGATAAAAATATGTAAATATGTATTTATGGATGATATGTAAATATGTATTTATGGATTATGCTCACAAGTTCGCTAATGATAATCACAGCAAGCCCCTAATAAGCCCTCGGTAAAAGTTTCTACACCAATTACTTCTTTTAAATCTGGTCAATAGATTTCATAGCCATCTCAAATTTCGTATTTTTGTAGTTTAGTTAAGGAGACTGATTGCTCGGTAAGCCAACTAGTAGGAATGCTTATCTCTCGTCCGTCGGCCAAAAGAGCCGTAATTTTACTTTTATTTATAACTAAACTAGTAATCTGGGGATGCGGACACAATTTTTTTTTGGGGGGGGTCAGCATTAACCGCGACTCGGGTTTAATATTAACTCTGTTAATTCTCATAATAATTATTTTTTGTCTTTAATTTTATTTCATTCGTCTAAAAAATCTGCTTTGTAGACTTGAAGAATTTTTTTAATTTCATTTACTTTACTCCTTGGCATACTTTTATCATCTTTTTTAATGGTTAGACTAGGTAAATAGAATTCTATGCGACCTCCTTGTCCTCGGATGTGGACATGCGGCTTTTTGTAAGAAATTAAGGGTTCGCCCTTTTTGAAGTAAAATTGATAACCATTTTTTTCCAATAAGAGAGGCATATAAATATTTTATAAGAAGTTTTTTATAAAACTAGTAAATAGTTTTATTAGGCATAATAAGTTATATGTGATACTTATATAGATTATGTGCCTGTTCTATATATTACATTTTACGAAATTAATTTCCGCTTTTTAATAGAACTTTAAAGTAATCAAAACAACTTTGGAAGTATTTAGTTAAGCTTTGTTGTTGAAGTTTTGCTATTTCTTTGTCAACAATTAATTTTAGTTCCTCATAAGTTCGGGGTCTACTTTTTTCAATATTGTGCCTAATATTATTAAAACATTTCTCGACAGGATTAAGTTCAGGAGAATGAGGAGGTAAATAAACTAGGACAATGTTTTTTTGAGATGCTAACTCCTCAATACTTAAACCTAATTCCCTTAATCTCTTGGTAGTATAATGAATACGAGCATTATCTAACAAAAGATGATATAGTTCATTAGTAGGCAATTCAATCTCTTTTAGAAAGTTGTAAAAATCTAGGGCATCAGTTCCTTTCTTTTTCCCTTGACTTTTGTTCTCGATTAACTTATAACTGATTACTGCTTGCTTGTTTACATTTCTAACACAAAGAATAAGAGTATAATTAAATCCTCTTTGCCCTGGTCGGGGAACAATTGCTCTTAATCCTTTTCGCGACCAAGCATAACGAGGGGCTTCTCCCAAATTGAAACCACATTCGTCCATCGCTAAAAGAAAGTTATGAGACGAAAGCCAATAATTATCAGCAAGAAACCTTTTTACTTTCTCTATATTCTGTTCCGAGTATTTTTTAGTTCCTTTCTTTCAACTAATATCATATTTCTGTAATGTTTGATGAATAACTTTTACACTAAACCTCTCTCCTATTTCCTTATAAAGATAATCAGACATTTTTTCCAAATTTGACGTATTGCTTGCATTAAGAAAAGAAACTAAAAGCCTAATATTGTTCTCGCTAATTTTTGGTTTCCTGCCTACTTTTTGAAGAGGTCGATTAGGTTCTTTTCTCCAATTCCTAATAGTTCGGTCAGTTCTTTTAAAACTATCAGCAATCTTTTTTCAGGTGGTGCCTGTTTCGTGTAATCTGTTTAAAGTATT